TATTAAGAATATCTATTAGTTCTATCTTCCTCCTGAAATAGTTGAATGAGGCATGTATTAATAGCTCACACAATGCTAGTTTTCTACTAAAGTATAAGAATACACCAAGTGAGGGGAAAAAATACACCAAGTGATGCTCAGATTTAGGCACATGTCAGAATTACACTGAGCAATATCTAATCAATATGTACTTTCAAAGTATGAACTACAGGTAAAAGCTAAGAGGATATAAAAGGGTACTTCAAAAAGCTCATGGAAAAATAGAACTGAAAGATAATATGAATCTTTCCATGAACTTTTTGAAGTACCCTCATATATAGTAAAAGACATTTTCTAATTTAAAAGACATGTAGTAAATATAAATGGACTAAGTCTCAACAGTACCTACTTACAAATTAAACAAAATCAGAATAAACACTCAACTTTTTTTTTTCTTTTGGCGGCTGGCCAGTATGGGGATTCGAATCCTTGACCTTGGTGTTACAACACCATGCTCTAACCAACTGAACTAACCAGCAGCCCTAACGCTCAACTTTTAAGAAGAGCCAATTTCAATCCTGGTCTTACCACTTAACTGGTGGGTCATTTTGTACAAATACGATTTGAAAATTTACAATACTGTCTTAAATCCCACCTAAATAGACTCTTCAAGGATCTTTTCATAGCATCTAGAAGTTGGGGAAATTACAATTTGAGAATTAAAACGATACTGACTCTCACATATGATAAGACCCAGGTGCACCAGCAGTCAACCAGATCATGCATCAATTCCTAATGATTTAAGTTAGAAGCTCCTTGCCCTGAAAGATTACCCTTTATCTTTTATCCACACCACTCTACCACAGATGGAGCAAAGCATCCCATGAGACTCTATCAGGGCTACAGGATAAAAAGCACCTGTTTTCTATGTGACACCAAGAGACTAACATCTAGGTATGAACAGGACTGACTTTAAAGTTATTAAAGAGTATTTCAATTCATTAAAGAAAATAAAGATTAGAAACTATACACAGTCTACACACATTTAACTTATTTCAGTCACTTTTGAATTGGCTCCCATTAGTGGTAAACAGAATACTTTGTATTTGGCATGGAAACCAAATAAATCGGGCTTTTACCTTGACAGTACAACGCTTATTTGTGTGTAAAGTGCCTATTTTATATACAAACTGGTTAAGTAAACTTTAAAACCTGTTTTCAACTGCTTTGTGGTAGTAACGGTTTAATCCTGCTGGGTCAAACTCAACTTGAGGGTCCCCCCTCATTGAAAGCCAAGATTGCCGCTGTTAGCTGTTACTGCTATGGCGAAGCCACAGCCAGCCTGCTTGCAAAAGCCAAACATGAATAAGATATTCCTTAAGAATCCAAGTAGCTTTCGTCTTAAATATCCTTTCCTTCTAGGTGATACCATTAGCATTATTAATAAGCAGGATTGTTTTTTGAGGTAGCTACACAGTTTTATAGATGCTGTTAATGCACATTATGGACAATTCATGGTGTAGCTGTTTGATACACTTTAACTGATTTTTTTTTTTTTTCTTTTTGGGCAGCTGGCCGGTACAGGGATCAAACCTTGGACCTCGATGTTATCAGCACCATGCTCTAACCACCTGAGCTAACCAGCCAGCCTTGTTTTGTGTTTTGATGAGGAGGGAAAAAAAAAAAAAAATCAGCAAAATAAGAGCACATCTTCGGTTCATTTAGAAGTCAGCATCCAAGGTAAAAGACTTCTCTGTCGGACTCGACATCACTCCCATCCTCTGATACTCGCCTACTCTCTTCTCAAAGAAGTTAGTCTTCCCTTCCAGTGAAATATTCTCCATAAAGTCAAAGGGATTTTCTACTCTGAAAACCTGAAAAGGTTCACATCAAGATATAAATACAGAACACCGGTTTCAAAAGATGCAGAAGGCTATAAACAATACTTTACCTTGTTAAAACCCAGTTCCAGCATAAGCCTGTCTGCCACAAATTCAATGTACTGCTTCATTAAGGAGCAATTCATACCAATGAGGTTCACAGGCAAGGCCTCGGTGAGGAACTCCTAGGGACCGAAGTACAGCTTGTGAATACAACTGAAGCAACAAGATGTCTTCCAGCAGTATGAGAGTGACCCACACATATCACCCACCTGTTCTATCCTAACAGCGTTGATAATTATTTCTTTCACTCTCTGCTCCGATGGTTTGTGCAGCAGGTGTTTAAACATCAGGCAGGCAAAGTCACAGTGCAAACCCTAGAAGAAAAAGGTCAAGATCACTCGAAAGCCAGAAGGCATCTATCATTAATGTGGAATATGAAATTGCTTTATCCTTTTCTATATTCTCCTTATACAACTTGCTCAGCCATACTGTGAGCACTTTAACTTTCAAAGGGAAGATAATTTTTAACTGTTGACATCAGTGAGGCAGGCATGGTCCCACACAAGGCCATCAGTGCTGCCACCCAGGTAAGGACAGGCCAGGTCTCATCCTCGCTGCTGTGTGGCAAAGGAGGAGTCAGAACTTTCGCTCCAAGTATTCTTTCTACAGTCATGAGCTCTACTTTTACCACTACTCCCAGCAGGAAATGCAAAACTCAATGACAAGGCTATTTACTTTTTAGATATAGTCAGGAAATTAGTGATGCAATTTCAAGTGAATCAAGTCTGAGTGCATTAAACTCCAATAAGTGTCACAGCTTATCTCCCTCTACAGGAAGGAAAGTCTTCTTGTAATGAAGATTAACTGTTTGATCTGCCCACTGGGCTCCAAGTATGGTGGGGCTCCTGTTCCCTGCCTTTCAAATGTGACAAAGTAGAAAATCTGGGCACCTTCATCTTCCTTTCCTCAGGAGTCCAAGTGCATCCAAAGACATACACTGCACCAAAATGGATCCTCATTTCACCAGGATGCTTACCAAGTAATTCTGAAGCACACTAGGATCACATATAATACCAGGAAAGAAAAATAAAACATCCCTTTAAAAAGTCCCTTAAGGGGCTGGCCTGTGGCTCACTCAGGAGAGTGTGGTGCTGACAACACCAAGTCAAGGGTTAAGATCCCCTTACCGGTCATCTTTAAAAAAAAAAAAAAAAAAAAAGTCCCTTAAGTACTTGTACTTTTATGCATTCAAGCCTAGAGGGCGATAGTATATATTAATGTATTATAGTATACTGAGAATACAAGTAAAATAAATTCAGGAAATCACTTAAGTACTTTATTCTCTGCTGAGTATGTATATTAAATGTGGACATGATGCCATCTGATTATCTTGGGTCCCCCCCCTTCAGTACGAGTTGTAGGTGCAGGGTACAGGTTATCCTGTTATTTGATTTAGACTCACCTCATCTCTGCTAATAAGTTCATTGGAAAATGTGAGGCCAGGCATCAGTCCTCGTTTCTTGAGCCAGAATATTGATGCAAAAGAACCAGAAAAGAAGATTCCTTCCACTGCGGCAAAGGCTACAACACGTTCTCCTATGTAAGAGTTAACACCAAAATGTTTCTAGTGAGTAACATGGCGGTAATCATAGGAAGGACCAACAATCCATTACTTAGAAAATGAAGCTCAGTTTTGAGTAGGGTCAAGGGTATCCTTACCATAGGTAGCCTCTTTGTCCCCAATCCAGCGCAAGGCCCAATCTGCCTTCTTCTTGACACAAGGCATCGTTTCAATGGCATTGAAGAGAAATTCCCTGTAGAAGGCATATATAGCATTAGCAATTACAACATTACCA